CGTGTGGATTGACCCTTCAGGAATACCTGGTTTATGACACGTCTTCGGTTATTGAGGACGCGGAGAAGTCGAAATTCTAAAGGCATTGTTCTGTAAGAAATTACTTATTTTTTGGCGGAGCTACAAAGCATCTTTGTTCTCAAAAATAACCTTCTGGTGCGAGCGTGCCATAAACCCGGTCAACGAAGACCCCACGCGTTCCGTACCTGCGCGACGGAACAATTACAGATGTAAACATTTCCTGAAAGTGTATATAACACTGAACACTCGTTTTCGCCGATAAAGCCAGATTTTTGCGTATTAATCCTTTGGTTGCGGAGGGGATTGGTTCAATCGCGGCGCCAAAATCTGTTGTTTTTAACAAAGTTTAGAGTTTATCGGTTTAAAAATTGAGGTAGCAGTGCGCAAAGGATTGAATTAAGGTGAAAGTGTGTTAAAAAGGCAAAAGCACGATATTCAAAACGCTCATAAACGCCGAGGGCACGGTGCAAGTCAATTTTCAAAGCGCCTATAGGCGCCAACAGTGGTGAAAAGGTTAACGCGTTTCATCTTAGCCGCCGCATGGGCACAAATAAAAAAAGAAAAGTCTGACGATGTTCGGGGTAGCGAGCTCAACAGCGGCGATCAATTTTGTATGGGACGCGAAAGAATAAACATGCCGAAATTTTTGAACCTTGGAAATCTTTCTCCCTTGAAAAATAGGTAATTAGCATTTTAAATATCAATCTCTTAAATTTAAATATAAAATTCCCTTTTTAAATTTGATCCCTTAAAAGGTAGGAAATTGGCGTTTCATTTTAAGAATTTGTTTCGTTCAAAAAAATAATTATACAGATCCTATATACTTATTAATCCTTAAATATACCTTGCTGCCGTTTGGCAATATTGTGCACTATGAGAACAAAATGAAATGAAATGAAATTTCAAAATTTCCTAATGTGGCAGAAAAATAATATTGCATGGTGTATTCGACGGATGACTATCTTTTGTTTTACTACCTTCACATGTCGTAATTTGAACGTGCCAGAGTTAGTCAATGCTGTTGCATAATTTTATATTTGGAGTGTTATTAGTAATCAAAGTTTCACTTAAAAAGAATAAAAACAGACGAAAATCGAAATAATTTCCATTATTATTGACGACCTTTTGCTATTTTTCCGACAGCTTGCGACTATGTACCGTCGTTACTTTGAATCAATTATGTGAATCGAGTTGGAAAGAATTAATTTCTGCACCTAATAGCTTGTTATAATCATTTCAAGTTTCTTATATATTCTACACATGTTGTAGCCAGTTGACAACAAACTATTCTTCTAAATAAAAAGATACAAAAAAACGAGATGGATTTCAAAAATTATTTCTCCATAATTTCAAAGCATACAAATTGAAAATTTGGAGAAATCGTGCATTCAAGGGTTAACCAATTAACAATACACAATAATTCATCTCCATATTTCCTCGTTTGCCTGTTTTTCAATTTCAAAATCAAGTATCTACCCTCGAGTGAATTGCGGAAAATGCACGGCGCGATTTGTCGGGGCGTAGAATATCGTTTCGCAAATTTCCACCGTGGTTCCGGGCGCAGCTCTGAATAAACAGGAAACGCGTCTTCGCGGACGTTATTTGTATCTGTCAGAACTAGGCGGGACGATTGCACGGGGGACGTAACACGCGTTAGAACACTTCTCCGGTCGAACGTGAATACACATTTCCATGGAACAGTCGCTATTGATTGTCCTGACGTGAGGAGAATCCGGGCATTCGCATATGGGGCGAGAGTGCTCCTGCCTCTTCTTACGTACCGCGTTACTGTCTTGCCTCGTGTCCCGAATACGAGAACCTGGAACCCGATTCTGCGCCAAACGGTTAATGTTTTCCCGCGAATCGCTGAGAAAATTACCGTGAAACAAAGCTACGCGGCTTGTGTCCAACGGAAAAGTGTACAGCGTGATTAGAAATTTCTGAAATTATTTACTAAAGTATGTAATACTTAACGCTAGGTTTAGGGGATTTAGGGGACGCGTTTACATTTCTCTCCTACCACTTGTGCTTGTTATAAATTTTATATAAATATATTCTTCATATTGTGCTTGTTTTGAAATAAAATAAGTTGCTTTTTAAAGAAAGTATGTGGTTTCATTCACGCGTGTCCGCAGAGATCCGTATATAATAAATGTCCGTAAACCTAGTGTTAACACAGAGGTCGTGTTTCACTTTTAATTCATCGTGTTAAAGATTTCATTAGAATTGACGGTCCATGTATTTAACCCTTCGTAGGTAAACTGAATGGTTTGTGTCCAAGCTTAATTTTTTTAACGTTTCAAGCTTCCAAAAAATCTGAAAAAATTGTGAAGGAGGTATTTATCGAAGTCTACTACGTCGAATGTTTGAAATTTTTTTTCAATGAAAATAAAAATTCGTTTGGAAGTAATACGGAAGTGAAGTTTCACTTGGGTCATCAAAGACCCAGAGGGTTAACAGATATAGTATAAACTGCTATAATGAATCGCAACGATATTTTAGCTAGTTCTGATACTTCAACAGAAAATTTTCAAACGAAAGTTCATTGATGTTGAGTAAAGAGTTTATTGATGTAAAATAAATCTTTGAAAGTATCTTTTTTTCAGTAGAAATTGATGTCAACTTGTGCTTTTTTAAATAGCATCATATACAGTTCTTTTCATATTCGAGAACTGATTTTGAATCTGATTTTAAAATAATTTGATTTATTTTTGAAGTGCAATCCTCGACTTGAAATTTTGAATTTAAATTATTATTGCTGAAATATATTTAGAGTATTCGAAAGAAGGTTGATTGTAACGAAACAAAGTGTAGAAAGACACTTATACTATAGGTTAATCGTGAAAATTTCTCTAGAAAAGAGAACGCCTCGAACATTACTTGTTCTATCACTTCATTGCCAGACTTTCCAATTCCGTTTGTTCCTCTACACGTATCATTCATTCTGTTATTGTAACTTTCTTCTCACTGAAATATCCCAGCTTATCCGAGATATCTAACGCTCCCCGAGTCTCGTTCCCTCAAAATTGCCACGAAGAAACGACGGAAATGTGCCAGAACGTTATTCAAAAATTCGCCGCCACATACGAAATTTTCCCTGTTAAGAAAAATAATATCAGATCCTCGATATTTCGCCGGAAGACAGTCAATTGCAGCGCGAGGGCGATTACAGATAATGCAAGTGCTGCAACAGCCATTACGAAACCATTTGATTTTGTGTTCCCGTATCGTTTCTCGCCGCATGACTCTGGCCCGCGTCCTGAATCCGCAATAGTCTTGAAACACGGTTACACCGTCAGCTGATACAAGTGGTTGTACGTGATCTGTGAACAAAGTGCTCGGGGAAAAGGTATAATTGAATTAATAAACTACCACGAAATCTGGCGGCGAACTTATTTACCTCGGAACAACTGCAACGAGTACTGCAGAGATGGAAGAAATAAAGCATCGCGTAGATACGCATCCTGATGTAGAATTTGTCGGTTGCCCGAAATTTACCATTATTCCTGTTGTTCGGCAGCATAAATTTGCAACTTTCGCGTGTTATTTGCGTTACCATTCTATTCGGTTGGTGTTCCTTTTTTAAGAGAAACTTGAGAAATAATGCATTCGTTCAAAATAATTTGCACGCGTTTCTACATACACTTTTTCCAACAATTGACCGATTTCATTGTTCCAAGTATATAGAAAGCATTAATTGTTGAATTAGAACATTTTTTGAATGATACATTTACAGTGTACAGTTCAATTTAAAACATCTCTACGCTTCCAGCAACAAAAGAACGATTGTCTCCAAATTATGTGCCCTGTGAAACGGCAAAAGCAAGCAAGTTATTCCCCACCCTGTATAAAAAAGTTACGCGAATATCCCGATTATTCATCGTGTCAGATAATGTTCAAGCAATTGTATTACGAATTTTAATTTGTTTACTATTCAATACACTTTCTTGACTATTGCGTAAAATTTAATATTAGGTCTACCGCAAAAGTTCTGTCCGACAATGTGATCTCAAGATCCAAAGACGAGTCATTCTACAGAAATGGAATCCACAAATTAGCATCGCGCTGGGAAGAGGTCATTGGTAACGATGGAAATTATATTGTTAATAAATGTATTGGAAATGTATTATTTTTTTAATTCAGAAACGGACGGAACTTTCCGGTAGACCCAATACATACAACGAATTTTCACAATCAAATTATAACCAAACCTGCTCTTCTCTCTCGCAAATTTCTACAAAAGCACTTTTGCAATATCTCGCGAGCGACGATAAAGAAACGAGAGAGAGAGAGAGGTCCTCTTCAAAGGTGATTTGTCATTTCTTCTTTTTACACCGCGTATTTCCACCGGTACCTTTTCGATGGAGACTCTCGATATCCATTTCTCATCGTTTCCCGCGAGTAGCCATCACGCGGTACCGAGTCCACTTTGATATCCGGAGATACGTTAACGATACTTTCCATTGTCTGTTCCAGAGTATACGCAATGTGATGATAGCCAATACGACGGATGCCTGTGAAACGCGTGATCCTTGCCAACACGGCGGAATCTGTATTTCCACGGACAGTGGACCGATCTGTGAGTGCCGGTCCGGCGATTATGAGGGCGCCTATTGTGAGAAAGGTAGGTTGTTTTACATCCCGTTGTTTACGATCGTTGTTGTTGTTGCTCGCAGAAATTCCCATTTCCTGTTACCGACCGAGACAGGTTATAGCTCTCTATGTAGTCTGTCGCGTTTGTTACGCTTCGATCTTGATCTTCGTTGATCGAGCTTTTGTGTCGAGCTGTAGCGTGTACACCGGAGCGGTATTACACTGGGTGACCTGGTAATTGTCGACGTCTCTGTTAAAATCACGTAAATTGAAGGTGGATTCAAGTGAAATATAGTTATGTCTGACAAAGAGGATCCAGTTGCTAGTGAATGCAATTGATATACAGAGTGGACCAAGAAGAGTCACCATCTTGAGTATCTTTGGAAATATGAAAGTAATTCAGAAATTTCTTCAATAAAAATCGTTTGTTGTAACTATTGCTTTGGAACAGAGTTGGGCAAAACGTAATCCGATTGACGATTGAAAATTACGATTAATATAAAATCTTACGATTACTAAATATTAACGAATAAGAGAGGAATTAGAAGTTGTTGTAATCAATGTTCGTGATTGCTTTATTAATTATTAATCATGAAATGATTTCGCTGTAATAGCAGCACTGAACAAGTTTGTTCGACCGTACCGAGGACTCGAACAATGGAGCCCTACCATATTCACCAATAGTATATTTTCCGTAAAATTGCTCTCTCTCCTCGCCATCAGCAAATTGTTTTATTACCTTCGAAAGTCGAATACCCTACATCTGGACACCACATGCACCACACTCATAAAGCACCTTCCGACCTCAGGATTTTCCCATCCCCTAATATAACTATTTTAGCAACAATTTCCCCACTTCGACTCCACCAGACAAACCCCACAACGCGTCCCAAACACCAATCAACCGATACTCCCACCACTTCTCACACATTTCACACCACCAATCACTGTACACACCGAACTTATAAAAACACAAACACACACAGAAACAGACAGATTCTATCAGAGATTCTATCAGAGATTCTATCACCAACTTTGAGACATCACGAAAAATAAAAAGTAACAGTCACCACCAATCAGCCAGTATTTGTCTATCGTGTAAAACATATATCTCTTTTTCACCCACCACAAATCTCATCTACAAATTTAAACAGGTTACTTATTTATTTTTAGTGCAATTTGCTTTTAATACAGCTCGCATTTCAAACATTCCGTATAAAATACAATTAATCATTGAATGATTTAAAAATTACCGATTAATGATTACAAATTACAGAAGGTAATCACGATTGCTGATTTATCTCAACGATGATTGACTAATTAATGATTACAGTTACTATGATTACATTAAATAATCGATTACAAAAGAATTAATTACTGCCCAACTCTGCTTTGGAAGGTTAGTCAAGGGAAGGGATGGTCATTCCTGTTTTTTTAGTTATTTATTCGTTAATAACAGTCCTTAAGATGAACACAAAGACATGTAATACAAGTTATGGTCACAGAGGCACGTGTGCTTTAATGAATTCTGACGTCGTTAACCCTTTCGTTACTATTGGCCCCTGTAGGCATTTTGAAAATTTACTCGCGCTATATTGCTGGAGCCTTTCGATGCATTTACACCTTTATTTAACCCTTTGAGGTCCTCGAGTCAGACTCTGATGAGAATTTTTGCCTTCAGATCAATGATAAACTATAAATTATAAATGACAATAAATCATTTTTCTTTCTGCATTAATATTATATCGAAACTTAGTGTTTTATAACTAGTATTACGCTGAAATGGTGAAATAAAGGAAAACTACATTCAGACCGCAAAGGGTTAATTTTACCCTTCACTTCACGCACTGCCTCCTTAATTCAATAAACCGAATTTCAAAACGACACGACCGAAGTAACAAATTTTAATTAAATAACAAATTAAAACCTGCCGCAGCGGAAGGGTTAACAGAGCAACTGAGTCGGCGATAGCAGTGTGATCAACCCTTTACTACCTTGACTGACGCTGCGTTATAAATTTTCGTATCCATCTTAAAGTCTGTTATCAGCAAATAACTAAAAAAAAACATGGTGCATCGTTAAAAAACGAGGAACGAGTTTTACATTTTTTCAGCGAGTTCATCCATAAAAAATATCGTTACGACCATAGAATAGTCGCTTTTATAGCGAAGAATTTTCATTGGAAAAATGTTTCCCTTTTTTTCATTGTTCCGGAGATATTCGAGGTGGTAATTGTTATTGGTCCACCCTGTGTTTGTTCAGATACAGTATACAATGTTTGCTGTACAATCCAAGCTGTCTTGCAAATTTTTTCTACATTTTTGTAGTTATTCCTTGTTACGTATTTATGTGCATTTAGTTCTATTCTTTGATCTAGGAAATACTGTTGTGAAAATATGTAACGAAGGAGCAGAAGAATTTTAAATGTAACTTACTTAACTCTAATTAAATTTGCCACTTTTATCGCCGCATTCGTTCATCTTCTTCTGTTGTAGAAGTTTTTCAAATTCATGTTCGCTTGTTGTACTCTTACACACATAAAAAACAATAGTAGTTTATTTTGTCTTTCCATTAAGAACCGTCTTTCGTTCTTCGTATTTTCAAGAAGCCAAATAGAATTACTTGCATCCTGTCGATAAATTATTCATTACTTTGTCGAAGCAACAACTGCAGAACATAGTTTGAATGTTACACTGTCAATATTAGGAGTGTTCGAAATCTCGCAAATATATTATAATTAATCTATTACATAATTACAAACGTTTGAATATTTATGTAATCCAGTCGGTCGATGTTAAATACAATTAACAATCGAGGCAATATCGATAATATACAGAGGTATAATTAACGCAGTCCTGATTCAACAGAACCGCTAACAAAATCATCATAATCCAGTCGGTCGATGTTAAATACAATTAACAATCGAGGCAATATTGATAATATACAGAGGTATAATTAACGCAGTCCTGATTCAACAGAACCGCTAACAAAATCATCATTATACTTAAGTAAACTTCTAACTAATTGATCGATGTAAAATACATTTCCAGGATTGTGGACGAACGATAATCATGCATAACTAACGAGAATGTCTTTGTCTTCGTCGTACTGTTAGGATAAACACGAATTTCCAACCCTTACACTTGTTAGATTTATTCAGTCATTTAGATATAACAAAAATTAATCTAACACCTTACTAGGAAGTATATATTACTTTTGTATACGTTTGGAGAAATCCGTTTAGCCTTACCACCTCTGTTTAGTAAAGATCTAAATGTTTATGACACGTGACAAAAGGCCCTTCGGTCGTAGACAATGTTAGGGCGTTGCGTAGGAGCATTCTCAGTCTGTAGACAGTGCTCTTACCACCAAGTAGAAAAGCGAACCATCCTTGTGTCTAATAAAAGTTTATAGTTTAAAATAAGGATTATTAATTATTTAACAACCAATAACTCCCATAATCCAATAACACTATGAGTGGAAGGCCATCTTCACGCGTCAGTTTTTCTAAAAGTTGTCACTTCAGTTTATTGATTTCGGTTCAGAGTTGATCTTTGGAATTTTTGTTATTTTTGTGAACGGAATACTGAAATTTTTCAAGTCCCTGTTAAGCTGCGGCATAACAGTACATTCTTCACTATAAACTTTTGCAGATATGCAATTAAATTTGAGCATGTTAAACATTCAAAGTGACACATTCCTCGCGGGATCTCATCAAAATGAATAGTTCAATTTCACGTGCTTTGTTAAAAATTAATTAATTTCTGAATGGTAAAATGAAAATTGCTTCGAAGAGATCCAACAATATTTTAGATAAAGGGAATCTGTGTGTTGATAAATTAAAATTATAATTATTCAACAAAATTTCCAGGTAATTCTATACATAACAAGTTTAAAATCACGAGGAAACAGCGGAATTATTTACGCGCCTCAGCCTGTGTAAAATCGAAGAATTTTTGCATGAAAATTACTAGGTCATCCTATAAATAACGTTGATCCTTATTTTCATTTGCCGAAATGCTATATATACTGTGCAGAGTGGGTCACGTGAAATAGGCCACCTAATTATCTTCTCTGTATGTACAGCTATGGCGGTACGAGACAATTTTCAGACGTAATTTAAATGCTTTCAAAGGATAAATAAAATGGAAGAAAAATTTGTTTGTAAAATTTCATTTTTTCCTATTTCTTTTTTTTTCAAAGTCACCTATGTTCTTTCACGCGAATTACGTATAATAATGTGACCTTAAACTGACCTTAGACTCGAAAATTTTTAATCAACCATGAAACTTCTTTCCATTTTTTGCTATTTCTTCCAGCAAACAAATTTTTTCTCATTTTACGTACCCTTGAAACCATTTCAAAAAATTTTCTGGTACCGTCGTAAGTATCTTATACAGAGAAGATAATTAGATGGCCTGTATTATGTGGCCCACTCTGTGTATAGATAGAATTTTCGGCGAATTAAAATAAGGATGAACGTTATTTACAGGATGACCTAGTAATTTTGAGTAATTCTTCTATTTTATACAGATTGGTGCGCGTAAATAATTCCGCAGTTTATGAATATGAATATACCTTTCCCAGAGCGTTAATCCTTCAGTTTAAATCGAACTCTGGCTGTATTTAAAAAAATCGTAAATATCTTTGTAGTACGCTGGGCGAAAGTATCAAACGCGAGGAAGTACGAAAGTGTGAAAATTCGAAAAAGACAATTCCACGGTGAAGCCTTAAACTTTGAACTTTAAAGCTTAAAGCGTTTAATTAAAGTAGAACCGTTCTGTTTCATTAAACAGAACAGACAAAAAATCGTAGAAAGAGTGCATTATGCTAACTGTAGGCACTGTTAATAGACGCTTAAAGAGCATCGGAAAAGCGTCAAGATTAGGCAATTGACTTCCTCGTGAGCTCTCTACGGGAAACCGTATTGAAAGCTCGAATGTTTGCATTTTTACGAGATTGCCCCGAGAATCGGCCATTTTCTAATGCAATTGCAATTGAAGACGAACAATAGATTTTTTATAATTAGCA